CCTGTGAATCCGGCATGATTTCCTTGATTTGGTGCACGGCAAGCTCGTCAGAGGCACCTGTCTTCTTCACAGCCACAAAAACAAGAGTCTGTTTCATAGACCCTACCATCCTATTCACTATCAAAACCGAAAGCACATTTCGCTGTGTCAGAATCGCCTCGACCACACCAAGTGCCTCGTACCTACGAACGCTGCGCCTCTTTATAGTGAACAGACTCCGCCAGTCGAATACAAGACACTTGGGGATTCTCGGAGCAAGAGCCGTCATCCCAGCCGGGATTGTGTGGCTCGCGTAAGAGTGTCGGTAGGAAGAATCTTCCATGCAATGTCTCATTGCATTTTCTGCAAAGTTTTTGCGAAGGCCGAACCTCAAATATGGTTTGATAAGCCTGAGGAAGCTTTCTCCATGGACACCGCCCTCCCACAGAAGCCTCAATGGACCAAATTCTTCGAGCATTGCGGGAAGATTCATGAGGGACAGCAAATTGGGGCAACTCAGGATTGCCTTCTCTTTGTTGTCAGCCTTGATCTGGTTGTCCAACAGATTGTACTCGGTGAGGAAAATCTTTACACAGAGAGAGGCCTCTTTCGATGTCACCCCAGGAACAACTTCCGATACCATCACCGAGTTCAGCATGTTCTCCAGGGCAATGAGAGTTCTCTCCACCTGGGAAGGTTCGTATTCAGCACCACTTATCTCATCTGGTGGGCCACCCGGTCGTTCGATCAGAGCCTTCACCCGTTCTTTGAGGTCGGGTACAACTTCGCCCTTCTTCACAGTCTGTCCTCGGCTCTTGAGCCAGTAAACATAGTGGCACCTCCTCCAGTTCTTGTTTGGTAACACAGATGGGACATCCATTCCCTCGTCATCTGATGCCTTCACCAGAAACCTGATTTCCTGGAAGAACCACTTCATTATTCGAGAGAAGGCCAGGTAGTTCTCACTGACCCATCCACCAAACTTCCCCTCCCTGAAGTCCTGCAAGGGGAGCCACTCCAGATTCAGGTCTCTCAGTTTCTCGTTGTAACCATCAGCCCTCTTCACAAAATCAGAGTACAGTCCCTGCTGCTTCATCCACTCAATGATAGACTTGACAACTGTCTTGACAATCCCAAGAAACAACAAGTGCATTGGCGAATCAACAAACATCGATATTGAGTCCCCATGAGTCCAGTGGGAGTTAGGTTCCGGCATCTTGTAGTTGTCTGGGTTCTTCAGGTAATCCTGTCGAACCGCTTCCCTCTGAATAGGGTCAAGAATACCATCAAGATCACTGAGGGTGACTGCCCTGGTGCCATTCGCAATTAGTTTTTGGATAGCATGCCCTTCGATGCACTCTGTCCTGAGGAATTCTGCCGTGACAGTATCAGACCACTCGCAGCTTACAAACTTCTGGTAAGCAAGTTGGAAAGAGGATAGCAACCTATCATATGACAGCTCTACAGGTTCAATTTTCCCATCAGAAGACAGATACTGGATCCCAGCTGGGTTCCCTTCAAGAGCGCCCGGATCTGGGTATTCATTGGATGGTGATGTCGCCAGCTTTGGCTTCACAGGGCCTTTGTCCATTGCATCCCAGCAGCAGCAGTTGGCACAGCTCGTTGGTTCAGTGCCTTCCCGGAGAAGATTGAAGCAATGTTCGCAGGGTTTCAACAGATCAAATATTTCCTTGTGGTGAGCTCTGTGTCTGAACCTGGTGTGGTATGACTGTTTCAGCGCCGCAGTTGCAGTGACCTTCCTTCTCTCAGGCTGGTCTCCAAAGTAACCAAACTGCCCCATCACAACATGAATGACCCTGTCGTGTGCTCGAGTGTGGTACTGGGAAGGTGGTCCCTCCACTACTATGGTCTGAATTTCACAGTTTACTATTCCCATGACATGAGAGTGGTCCACTGCATTGTCTTCCAGATCCTTTTCTCTCCCAATGACAAGTGCAGTTGTGTTGTCCATTGAGTTAAAGTTGTCCTTGGTCGGGCCCAGCGTGATAGACCCTGCCCAGACATTGCTGTTTTTCTTGATATAACAAGTGGTGACGCCGTCGGTCCATATAATGAACGGAGGAACATTACATCTTCCAGTTGAGTCCCAAGGTATGGAGCCATCCACCACACTAGACTTGAACAAGTCCATGTCATGCTCTTAGGATACATTGATTCGCTTGTCCTCTACGAGAGCGATTTCTGCAGAGAGCGAACCATCAGTTTTTTCGCCCTTTGGGTCTCGGTTATCCAGCTGATTTTACCAGGAATGGAGAGGCTCGGTTCAAAAAGATCCTGCAGCGTCATGAGAGACATGGGAGTCCCCTGTGCAGGAGCCTGCAGTGCACTCCCTAAAGGAAGTGTATGCATGGTTCTCAGTGGTGTATATGTTTGGCATTGGGAGACACCTTGTGATGGCAACACGGAGCGACCTCGCAGCGGGACTGTAAGGCAGCATCTTGATCCCGTTGAAAACACTTGTATCGTCGCGATAGTCGTATGGGACTGAATAGATCTGGTTCTTGGCAAGAATCTGAATTTTCGACAACATATCTTTTGGGACCTCCACAACGTGCACGTCCATGTTGTGTTCCAAAAACTGGCGGGCTCCTGTAACATTATCCAATCCACCATCGCCTCGTCTGGTCTGATAGAGTCTTTGTCAAAGCTGAAACCACTTCTGAAGTAGCTCTGAGCCACCAGCTTCGAAATTCCACTCTGCTGGTGAATGATCTGGTGCCTGTAGAATTCGCCAGCAGTGCCATCAGGAATAAATGTGTAAGCCATTGCTCTACGTTGCTTCAGCTCCTCCAGCTGGTCATCATCGAGATGTTTGCAACCATCTTTTGCACTCAAGTTAACTGATCTTTTGTGGACGTTTGACCTCAGATGTGCATACAGACTGTTATAATTGACGAGACTAGCCCTGCTTCTACCGCTGGCCGATCTCGCGCAGAGAGTACAGACCAACCAAAGCTTCTGCCTACAACCAGGTGTTTCACAGGACAGCTGTTCCAAGATGTCAGAGTGCTCCCTTTTGAGCTGCCTACCTACAAGGTCGGTGTGTGCAGCATGCTTCTTGCACTGAGGACACTCGTAGGGGTCCCTGTCCTTCGCAACATGTCTTTGGATTTCTGACATGGTTTTTTCTCTCTTCTTCTTCTTCTTTTCTTTCTTTCTATCAGCAGAGAACACTCTCTCTCGGATTTACTTTATTGTGATCATGAGAAAAATGTGAGGCAGTTTCACAAAGTAAGCCGAGACTTGGTTCTTGGGAAATGGCGGCAACACAATGACGATTAAAATTCGAATGGCGAGCAGGCCACTCCTTCACATAGAGGCATGACAGGAAATTAGCTGCCAGTCCAACTCGGTGCAGTTACCCCCAAGCCCAAAAAAGCCATTGATGCGAAAACCAGATCTCTTTTGTTTCTGTCCTCTTTGTGCTTTTTATTGTCACCATGGTGTTAGCTGCGGCCAGCCTCCGCCAGAAGAATCCGGCACCAGCTTCCGATTGGGCCAAGTC